CACTCCTGTGATGAACTGAATCAAAAGCAGCAGCAATGTCCAATTTGGCCGCCAGTAGCGGTGTTTTACGTGCTTTAGAAAGCGACAACATCATCTGGGCTGTTGTGATGCCATCAAGGACTTGACAGCCTTTGCGGGCTCCAAGTTGTGCGGTAGGTGTGTCAGGGAGTGTCTTACGAAGTCTGACACTGAGCAGCTTCCCGAACAATTTACAGACTGTGCTGGTGAGACAGATCGGCCGAAGCTGCGAAGGTTTGAGGGGCCGGCTGATTTTAGGAAGGAAAGTGATTTTACCTTCTTTCCACTCTTTGGGAATTTTCTCCTTACCGTCCAGAATCTTATTAAACCAGTCTGGCAAGCGGTCCTCCAGGTCATGACGCAAAATGTTGGTCAAAACATCATACGAGATGCCGTCAAGGCCAGTGCTCGTGGACCCTTTACAGGTCTGAAGTAACTGAAGAAGTTCGTCCTTTGTGACGGGAATAAAAGGAGCATCCCCATGCTTCCGGATGAGGCTTTCGTTGAGAGGCTGCAGGCTGTTTGGGTCCCTCGAGTTGAATTTGCATGCATAGAAATGTTTCAGGTCTCTGAGGGCTGTCTCATGTCCCCCAGCTCTTTGAATATAGCTGCCGTCTGAAAGTGAACCTGCTGCCGAGCGACGCATATGCGCAATGGCGTTCTTATCCCCATTCCTGGCCCTGTCTAGCAGATCTTCTTTATGAGCAACTTGGGCCAACTCTCTTGCACTTCGAATTCGTGCCATCATGGCTGCTCTTTCCTCCCCGACAAGGAGTTTGCGTTGTCGAATAAGTTCTCTAATGTCGGGCCCGTCCTGATAGCGGAGATTCGGGGGGCGAAAGCTGGCTTGTTTTGCAATGGATTCGATGACCTGGTGGCTCATGGGTCCCCGGGCGACGGAATTAAGGGCCTCCTGAACAGCAGACTCTGGTGCCATCCATTTCCCGCAGCGACGGGTCACCCATGGTCTCCGTCGATAGAAAGGTATTCTGGAGAAAATCGTCAAAAGGAGAGCTGAGTGGTCTGAAGGAAGAGCGAGTCTCAAATCATCCCGAACAGCCAACTGAAAGTCCATACCTGGGGCTCTAAAAAGAATGAAATCAATCTTCGTGCTGAGTCCTCTGGCATGCCACGTATTCCTGTCAGGGATGAGCAGATCAAGACCTGCAAGGCGCATGCATGCCCTAAGTCGGGGGACCTGTGCAAACAAATCATATTCTAGGCTTAAATCCTGATTCACATCAGCAGCAATGACCACGCGATCCTGAATTCTCGCAGGCAAAATAAATTCCTCCAACAACTGAATTCCTGAATTCCAAGTCTCAAGACAATTCGCTCGGTTATCGTGAGGAAAGTGTAGACTAGCCAGAAACCAGTCAACTCCTTGAAGTCGAAGACGAGCCAAAACCCCAAAGGGGTGAGCCCTGGTCTCGGTTGTCGAAACAGTCAGTTCATGACGAACGGCAATGCACACACCTCTCCAGCTTTCGGGTGTGTCCAGACAGTAGGCTGTATAGGACTGCTTGCCTATGGCAAAGGGCAGGGCTTGCACTTCATTAATTCCGCTGAGTCCTCCAACTTCCTGCAAACACAGAATGTCCGGTGGATCAGCATTTTGATGGATGACATTATCAATGTGGGTCAGGGATTTGCCATGCAAGTTCCAGTGCAGGACTGTAAGATCATGGTAGGCCCTGCGCGATACCTTCTGTGGTTTGGTCGACTCACCTTTCTGCGGGGGTTCCCTGCCATGTCCCTATGGTCCTCCAGTGGTGCGTGATAGCGCGTCGTGAATCTGTTGACCTGTGACCCCCAATACCTGGGCAGCCTTATTAACGTGCACCCACCATCCACTGTGATCCCCACGGTTAGTGGTGTGAAGGAAGGCACCCTCAGGTGGAGGAGGCCCTGAATACCCCAGCACGTTCACCCCATCAGCGAAAACTTTCCCGCGCCAATCGTGCTCTATGTCAACTTGTGGCCGGAGCCCCTGTAGAGCTTCCTTCGTAGACAGAATCGCTCTTAATTTAGCCCTTTCCTCCGGACTACGGTTGCGGGTAAACCATATCTTCCTGCCGTCTTGGCCCTGAATATTAGTGACCGGCAGTTGATCCTTCAAGGCTTGAATTACCTTGGTTTGGATGCGTCGTTTCTCAGCAATAGAGCACCCCGAGGGATAGTTCAATTCAATTCTTGCAAAAGAGCTCCTGGCATATGGTATGATAAGGTCTTGTACCAGATTAGACCCTCCCGCAGTGGCAAATGCCTGGGACAACTCATGCTCAATGTCATGCCGCTTGGCGTCCTGCCAGCCTCCGCATGCAATCTGTAGATCGTCGTAGCGTGGATCAGCACGGGGCGACGGCGGGGCGGAATAGGCTGCAGGTGGTCCTGCGTACCCTGCTGGTGCCGGCGAGACGGATCTGGATCTGAGCCCACGGACTTCCTCTCTAAGTTCCCTGATTTCCCGGGAATGGTCATGGGTGAGGGCTTCAACAGCTTCAATCCGGGGAACTGCATCGGCTACCTTATGCTGAAGATTGTTGATCTCTCTAAAATTGCTGTCAGCAACCTCCAAGATTTGAGTCTGCTTGTCCTTCAACTCTTGGATGCTGCTTTTGAGAGAGGGGAGCCAGGCAGGTTCGTCGTCAATATGGAAATGTTCAGGTTTTCTTTCCCCGGTTGAATCATTTTGACCTCCAGCGAAAACTGGGGGTGCATTTAGGGGTCCAGTTCTTCCGAAGGCAGGTGAGCGGTCCTTAGGGGGTTCGGCTTGACCCAGCTGACTTCTGCCAATCCCTTCGAGAGCAGGTTTGGAGGACTTGGGGGAAGTCCCCGGTTTGGCAGGCTTACGGGGATTAGACCCTTTCCCAGGGAGGTGAGGGGGAGCAGCAAAGGCGCCAGCGACCTCTTCACCCGTCGAAGTCTTGGCTTCATGCTTCCCGAATGCTGAATTCTCAATGGAAGGAAACTCTTGTGGAGCACCGCTCATGCCTGAATTCGCAACCGAAGAAGGTCCCTTCCCTGCATCTAATTCCAAACTAACAACATTGCCAGTTTCGTGAACTCCCTTCCCTGCCCGGTCCTCGAGTGGCATTTTGTTGGCGTCGGCATTTCTATGCCCTGTTGTGTCGACGGCCCAGGGCTGAGTCTCTCGCTGGCTGAGGGGGATGGCTTCTTCGTTGGGTTCAACTTTTTCCGCTTCAGTGTTGGGCTGCATGAGTTCGTCGTCAATAGTGCTTTCGTATTTCTTGGATTTCTTCTGGGGACTCTCCCCTCGCTCTTTGTCCTGAGAACGTCCACCAGTCTTGGCATGGGTATCATCATCATCGTCATCATCAGTGTCAAGCATGCCAGGAGGAACGAATCGGGCTGGAAGAGGCTTCCCAAGAGCAGCATCTAAGGCAGCTTGCGCATCTGAAGTGAGCCCTGGACCCACCCGAGCAGACAAGCCCGCAAGAGCCCCGGACATACTGAGTTAGCTCAGGAACCCCGAGAAACCTGTGTTCTCTCCCTCGAGCCGAAATCTTGAGCCGTAGGTTTAGGGGTTTAGGGGTTTACGTAACCATGTTATTGAATTCAGAAGATGAGGGCTTCACAAGTACCGACAGTTGGAGCGAGTACGCCTTGCACACTCAAGACCCCAAGCATAAGGCTTGCCTGAAGAAGCACGGTTGGGGCACTTACTGCTGGCTTGCTACCGAGAGAGGAAGCTCTATCTTTAGAAGCACTGAAGCCGCCCTTCATCATCCCAAAATCCTACACTATCTTGCAAACAGGTGCATTCGCTTTTGGCGTGGTGAGTTAAGGTTCAAGAACTCGCCGTCCATGGATGGGACAGGTCTTCTCAGGGCTTGTGCAACATGTCTGCATTACAGGCGGCTCACAAGGCATTTTCTTGCCGGTTTCTGGTGTCTAAGACCCACGAACAAATAAGCCCCCCCAGCCCCAAATAAATGACATCAGAAATCAGATAGCCTACTGCCTACTCTCCACCCAAAACGCAGCTTAAGGTCAGGAACAGAGTAAGGCGCGGACTGCAAACTTACCAAACCTATAAGCCCTAATACGGATGCCTTAGCAATCTCCTATATTTCCCACTCATCTTCAGGAGTTGAGGTTTAGGGGTTTAGGGTTTTAGGGTGTAGGGGTTTAGGGGTTTAGGGTGTAGGGTGTAGGGGTTAGGGGTTTAGGGTGTTTAGGAGTTTAGGGTGTAGGGTGTAGGGGTTTAGGGTTGGGACTCTATCACCAGATATTCGGAGCCCCTCTGGTAAATCTTGCGGGCCCGAAATCCTCAATGCAGGAACCTGGTTAAAAAGCCCTGGGCCCTTATTAGAGTTCTTAATAAGGATCCCAATGTATTGGGGTTACAGGGCCAGGGTTTCTGAATCAGGTTCTTACATATTTATCAATATCCAGGCTCCAGGCTGTTGCCTGATCCCTGGCAGTACCTGACCTTTTCGGTGGGGAAAACAAACTGATGTCTATTACACACAGCCACACTCTCTGAGCATCCCTCTGACAATTTCTTTGAATCACCTCAAAATCACAAGCCGTGCAGAGACCGTCAAACCTTTCCCCCCCCCCCGAAGGGGTCCAAAGTTCCACTCGGGGTTTACCTATAGTCTCCGTTGTAGTTCCTTTTTGGGGTTACCTTATAAACTTGGTTAAACCAAAAAGAAGGAACTACAATGGAGACTATAGGTATGGTTTGGGGGTTTCCGATTTACGCTACGAGGCTGGGAGGTGGCGAAGATCCACGAGGCTTTGTAGACGCGCATGACTTTGCCTTCAGAGCTTTGTGGAGTTGGGCCTTCCTGGGGTCTTATGGGGATACTATAGGGACCTTGATAATTAGAATGGGGTTTCGGGTGGCCAGTATGCTATAGTTAATAATAAGGAATAAGGAACCCCCAAAATAGTATTGGTAATTATTAAGGTCCCTATATTACACCCTAAAACCGAGGTTCTAGACCCGGTGCCTTTCTCACAAGCACTGAGCACGGCGTTGTAGGTGATGATGTCTGGGGGCACGTGCATTCGCATCTGGAGATTCCTTGCATAGCAGCACTCTCCCGAAACCCTTTCTGCATGTGGGCTCTGTGGTCCATACCGCATCTAAAAGCAAGAGTTGCTCAGACGCCGCCTCCTGCTAAAGGCAGGAGAGACTGTAAAATTGTGCCACACCAGCAGACTAGCAATTCGAGCAGTGGATGGAACATTGCTACCCGTGGTGACACGGCACGCACAGTATCCCAGTAAGTGCCAAGACGAAACGAAAGCCCGCTCAATTGTAGACCAGAGGCATCAGCTCCAATGCTTGGTGCCACTCCCCGCACTTCTCACAAGCGGAGATGGCAGCATTGTAACACACATCCTGGTACTGAATTCTGACTTGAGGTTTGAGGTTCAGCCTTTCAGTTCAGGATGGGATGTACCTCTGTGCAAATGCCAAGAGGGCGCGGGTGCGAGTGATGGAAGCGGTACGCTGGTGGAGTGGGGAAGCCGTCACGGTTGTGAGGCTGTTGGTGACGATAGTTGTTGTCGCGGCGGCAGCAATCGCAGCGGCTTTGTCAAGCCGCTGCCATCGCAATATCACTTTCTAGTATCTGAATGTACCGAAAGCTCTTATTGGGTACCAGTCTATTGACCGCCTCTGGTTGGGACATCATAGCAACATTGCGTGTAGCTAGTTTTGCTGCTGGGAAAGCCCTGCAACCCTAAGGCCCTAAGGCGCCAAAAGCTAGGCCAGAAATCCCTGCGGCGCAACGAAATACACGGTAAAAGTTGCACTTCACACCTGAATCCTTAACTTCCTCAACTGTCATACCCGGGCTTTGTGCTCAGACTTGAAGCTTTGTGCGACGAGACGCGTTGCTCTCAACCTGAAGAGCATGCATCATGTCCAACAAGTGGTAAGCCACCTCCCGTCTTCAGGAAAGATGCCGACAAAAATAAACATGATTCCATGGGTCTTAGCACATAACGTGCAACAGCTTTCGCACCAGCCTGACGCAGTTAGGGTCTGCTTGTCGTGGGGACTGTTGAATCATGCCCTGACTCTAGAAAAGGAAACAAGGTTGACAAAACCATTACCTACTTGAATCCACACGGCCACTACAACCTGAAACTTACGACTTACACTGTAAGCTCAAAGGGTTTAGGTTCTCGACGCGGGGGTCATGCAAGCATCGCTGGAAGCTTCCTTCGGCAGGCAGGTTGTTCCGGAATTGTTCTTTCTTACTGGTAGTGCCAACTAGAAAAGCAGGCCCCCCAAAACCTCAGTTTACTATTTTGATACAAAACCCTGCCGATGCAGCCAGCAACACCGCCATCTGGCCCCAACCCTAGCTTCAAAATCCTGTGCTTTGCTTGGGATATTGCTGACTCCATGCCGAACGTGCCTGCCACTGTCGTGCTTGCTCGCACACACTGAGGAGGGCCTCAGCTGATCATGGGGATATGGGCACCCTGAATCTTTAATATCGACCTGTCGTTCTTTGTCTATCTCTTCTTCCTTCTGGCTTTGACTGTCCGAACAAAAAACAAAATATGGAGAAATGCAGGCCGCCGCGTTGATCTCGACGCAGAGCGCGCTATCAACACTTGCCACAAATTCCACTTCTGAACCCTGTAGTCCTGTGCTACAGCAACAACTCGAAAACAAACGGTGTCGAACATTCTCAGAAAATTCTGCATATCAATTGTTTTTACTCCTCAACTGGTTGTATGTTCAGAAGCCTCTGACCCGAAACTGTCTTGGCTGCATGCAGGCTGCGCCGAAGGTGACGGTGCTCGGCTCTGCCTCCATGTTCCAACTATATCATATGGGAGTTTCCGAAAATAGGGACCCTAGTAAAGCACCCTAAATAGTAGGATCCTTACTATAAGGGCTCTAACATAAAGTACCCCTAAGTTTCGGAAACTTCAATATGTTTCTGTGCGCCCGCAACCACGAAGCTGGAAGAACAAGCCTCTACAACGCCGGGCGGGCAGCAGAGATAAGCTTACTTGGAGGGTCGGGGGACTTAGTAAGTAGGTTATAAATAGACTTATAAGTGCCCTAAAAGGGACCCTATTTGGGGTTATGGTACTTATAGGTCTCTAAAATAACTACTTACTAAGTCCCTCGACCCTCCAAGTACTACTCCAACAAGCCACGGAAATCAAAGGCTAAAATATCCGATTCCTACTAAACTACAAGAACCCAGGAAGTTTAAAGGTTGGGTATTGGGGATCTAAGTAAGGGTATTATTGTTGTTCGAAAGCTGTCCTGCAGGACCCAAAAAACAAGCCCCGCAGCCTTCCACGAAAAGAGCTGATCCAAAAGCGCCATTGCCCACCGCCATTCTTCTCCACAGGCGGAGATAGCCTCACGCCCAGAGCTTTTCGGGTTTGGATGTGTCAGATTTCACGGTCAAGGGTTTGGGAAATGTGGGAGAGGCGTTACAGCTTTTGACATGGAGGCGAACTTAGGATGTAAAGCGCGAAGCCGCTAAGAGCCAGGTAGCGGCATTGCAGCTGATGACATCAGGCCGTAGATCCACGTCCTCTGCCATGCGCAAGCTCGGATGGCACAATGAGGATTTAGCGGTTGAGGGATCTCAGGCTTGAGGGGTGAAGGGTCTGAGAGTTAAGGGTCAGGTTTGGGATTTGGATTCTTTTTTTCCCGGAAAGTCTAAATGTGCTCCTTGGGTGTTTAGTGTAAGAGATGCTTGGTTGAGAAATTGCAGCTTCAGCTTTGGTCCATTTCCTGAAGCTGTTTTGCATTCGGACTAGGACACTCGAATTTCTTGGATCCTGAAAACCTGAGCCGGCATATCCACGTGTTGCTTTCGTGTGTCCAACAGGGTGCTATAAACCTTGAACCCTAAGCCCAAAGGGTCCTGTGTACTGTTATGGGGGATACTTCCCTGGATCATAATAATAATTCCTAATATGGAAACCCTACATTCTGCCATACATTTGGAAAGGCGCTCAGGTCCTTCATCTGCGAAAACAGATGCAGGGCGGCCTGTCCGTCTGTGAAGTCTTCTCGGGGGAATGATTAAGGATGCCCCTATGAAGTAAGACATATTGCTTAATGAAGCGGTTCAGGGCTCTTTCGCGATGTATGCGAGGTCCGGGTTTAGAGCTAGCATTGTGCACGGATGTAGTGGGGTAGGGCCGGTCAAGAGTATCCTGGAAGACATATTCAGGTACTCATGTCCCGACTTTCTGCTACTGATGAACTTCGAAGCATGTTTCAGGAGATTGGGTTACGGTGTTGAGGGTTTCAGGATGTCGGGACAAATAACTCTGCACAGTTGATGACAGTCTGTAGCACTATCACATTGGATCTGTTTTGGTGGGCTCTTTGCTGATCGAGGGCAAATAACCGAAACTTCAGGCATCATCCACCAGGGGTGCGGGGAGAGAAGCGCATGCCGGCGTATGCCACTCTCGTTTCGACTTCAGGTTTATAGAGACTGCTGAGATGTAGCTGAAAGATACATGGCACCCGACAAGCTGCTGCCATTTCCCAGTCTGTCTGAGCTCTTGAACGTTTTCAAGCCCGGACAGGAAGCTCACCAAGTAGGCTACCCAGATTTTGCGGCCTTCATGATTCGAGTATATTCGAATACTCTTGTTTGCCGACAGATTGCGGCACACCTATAAATGGACTATAGGCGGATACTACTGTCTATGATTGCCACCCTGCGTTTCTTTCCTGGCTGTGTCTTCGCCTTACCAGTTTCGATTGCTATAAGCCTTGGGTTGACCCGCATGATTTCCGGACTTTCTTGGTGGTCCAGTATGTCCTTTGGGAACCGAAATTTTGCCTTTGGGGTTACATAGGATTTATACCACCCCAAACAGGTTCAAGCTCACATACTCTACTACACCACCCTACTTTGGAATGAAGGAGTCCGGGCCGTTCGGGTCTTGTCGTCACTGCTATGTACGGCCGTTTGCCGTGAAGCATCCTACATTCCTACATCATAACATCCCCAGACTCTACATACTGCCTGAGACTCCTAAGGCCTATAAAACCCAACAGCCCTAAACCCCAAACTCCTAAACCCTAAACCAAATTCTCAAACCACTCGACCAGCGATCGGCGAAAGTCATAAACATCTCTTGAAGGCTGTATACTTATGCCACCCTAATCCTTTCTGAAAAGCTTTATAAGAGACCGACCAACGCTCTATCGAGCGATATACCAAGGCAAAGACTAGAAATAGGGTTTCGGAATCAAGGGTACGCATATCCCAATTTGACATGTACTTACAGCCCAATGATAAGCTGCCCCACTGTAGCTATCTAGTTTATTAAGTTACTGTGTATATCTTAGTTATCTACGGTCATGTTAGATTGCGCAACCTCCAAGTAGGATTTAGGGATTCGGCTTCAGAGCGTGTTTTGTGTTTCAGGGTAAACCCTAAACCCTAAACCCCGAAGCCCGAACCCAACACCTGAAGAGCTGTTCAAGGCCCTGAGCCTTGAGCTGTGAACGCTGAACCGTTGACCCAAGTATATTATGAAATAAGAAACACCCACAAAGTCTGTAGTAAAAACCCACAAAGGGCAGGATCCCTGTAAGAAAACTTGAGAAAACCCTTCTGAAAGGAAAGGGGAGGAATAATCCAAAGGCGAGTGCATGTGCCTCCCACTGCTGCCCTTTCTCGCAGGCGCTCACTCCGGCATTGTAGCTGATCCTCATCGCGGGCTCCATATATGCTGCCAATTATCTTGAAACCTTTGGGACTTCGCACACCCACAAAGGCTTGGAGGTATACGGCTTGAGGGCAAAAACTCGACTTCCCGGTTTCGAACGTAATTATATAGGTCCGGGAGTATGGCCTCGGGCCTCGGGACAAGTGACTGCAGAAATAGGGTTTAAACGGTAATGGGAAAGCTGCACACACAGAACTGAGGCCTGAGACAGGTGGATCATTCATGCTTCGAGAGGGTGCGGTGCGAGGCATTGCGGCGAGCATCCTCATCGGGTTTCGGCTGAAATTCCAGTACAAAGAAACTACTGCCCAAGGTTTGTTTAGGCTGGATTTGGGGTTTAGGGTTTAGGGCTGTTTGTAAAAGGACTTATATAGAAGTAGGATGTCGTAATGAAGAAGTCGGCAGTTGAATCACCTGCATCTGCGTCCTGAGCTACCCAAGATGCAAGCCCATGCAAACCTGAAGACTACTTGTACACCAGCCAATGTGGAAAACCCATCCATGAAGCTTGAAAATTTTAAATCCGAATCCCAACACCCAGAATCCTACCCAAAAGCACCCTGGGTCTGTTGAAAGCACTGGACGCTCTCTGCATGCATACAACCGTTCAACATGCAACTAATATGCAACTGGTGGATGTATTAACAGTGGGAGGTTTGGAATTCTGGGGATCATTGTTTACGGGGCTTAGGGTTTTAGATGCCCTCGGATTTCAGCGTATCACACTCAAGTTGGCGTTGATGCGTGCCGAGTTTCACATTTGGACGGAGACTGCGGCCGGCATAGCTCCTCCTGGCAGACTGTCGCAAGCGGGCACGATGCTCATAGTCCTAGAGGCAAAGCGTTTCTACATTCCATGTTTTGCATCGCGGTTTGCTTCACAGGGTTTCGCTTGGGGTTTTATACGACCTATCTGGCTGGGACTCTTTGCATGATTTTTTCAGACGGCTTTGGACGGCCAAACCTCTCAATAGTAAATCAAACTGAAGCCTTCAAACAGCACAGGCATCTTTCGCGCCCTAAGTCCTGAGACGGCTGTCCAACACAAGCCATACACCCCTGTCTCTGGCGACTCATATCCCAAAGCCTCCAAAACCCCTTCCTTAATTAAGGAATATCCCTTCATTCATATTGAGGATCCTATTATGATTTATGGTATCTTTCTTAATTAAGGGGCTTTGGAGGCTCTGGGAAGTCATAAGAGCGCAGGTATGGAATCCAAGCTGCAAGAATTCCAGCGCAAGCTGCCACCTGGCGGCTAGTGTGGCGCAAGGCTTCAGGTGATGGGGTGGGGGCTTAGCAAATAGGGTTCCTTTACGGGATCTATACGGGCTCTACAAGGGGGAGTTCAGGTGGGTGGGGAGTTTTGAGTCCTCTCAACCCTAAACTCTTTCTTTTTCTAGTATGTTCTAACGGTTTCGGCTGTTGAATTGCGTAGGGAACCCCAAACCCTCTCTGCTGAGGACCTGCGTCGGGACTGTACGTAAGGGTATAATGATGTAGGAGCCCGAACAAGGTTTTTATGTATATTCTCGTACAAGTACTTGATCAGGCCGCTAGGATGATGAATCACCAGAACAAGGGGTTCCTAGGCTCCGGAGCAATTTGTGTAAGACTTGCGGTGAAGAGCTCTGTGCCCAAGGAGGTGCGAAAAAGCCCTCCTTCGGTAAAACGAGGAATAGCTAACCTTAGGGGTTGAGTAACCCAGCCCCCAAAATAGGTTAACCTTTTCGATTCTGGTAGGATTTTATAAACCCGAAGAGATTAAAGGTTGCCTACTCAGCGGCTAAGTAACAAGGGCGGATGCTCGCAATGGTCTGGTTCATGGATAGGAAAGCTGTAGTCAACAATGCCTGCTTCCATGGATAACGACGCTCATGTACGAGCACCCCTGCCTTCATCACCTAAGTTTCTGCTGGGCTCCGAGTTTTCTCTGCGATTCCAGGGTGTGTTGCACCAGGCTAGAAGGCTCCACCCGACTATGGCAGCATGCATTGCGTAATCTGTTTCTGTCAGGTCCCAGTATTTCTCCATTGCCATGTCCCTAGATCAGAACACTAATCCTCGGGCTCCAGCTACCGGAATAGTAGGTTGCTACCCTAGTAATCTACTATTCAGGCAACTGGAGCCGCAGCGAATCCCAATGTTGAGCCCCATCCCGAAAGTCAGGGTTCTGTTCTTGTCAAAGAGTTTAGTTGAAGTTGCCATAATAGGGATCTATGCTAAACAAGAGCATGGTTTCTTGACTATGGTAACCTAAAACCAAATTCTTAACAAGAACCCGAAAGTTGATCTGAAAATCTGGAGTCACCCATAGACTCCAAAAGCCCTCAATCAAGGAATATATTTTAAATTCTAATCGGAACACTAATATTAAGCCCTTGATTAAGGAATATACCTTAAATCAATATTAGGGTTCCTACTGCAATTTAAGGTACATTAAGGGGTTTTGGAGTCTCTGGGCACCTCCCTCAGTCACTGCGATTTTTTCCTGAAGATGGCCTTAACCCTCAATCCCATCCCAGCTCGGTCTCTGAAATAACAAGAGTCCCCCACGTCTCCCTGGTGCTTAGTGGGAATGGAGGAATGGGTTCCGGGGCCTACTGTTGGGGATTCTATAAAGACTATAGGGATCCATTCTCCCATTCCCTACTAAGAACAAACCCTAAACTTTAGGGTTTAGGGTTTAGGGTTTAGGGGTTTAGGGTTTAGGGGTGTAGGGTTTAGGGTTTAGGGTTCAGAACCAGACAGAAGTGTCCACGCACTCAAGAAACGTACATCTTGGCCCTCATGTATCTAAATAGGGCTATTTGGGCACATGGACCAAGTGGGGGTCTAAGGGGGCTACTTTAAGGCTAAGGTATACACTATTCTGGGTGCATGGACGCTTTTGGGGATCCAGGAAGAAGGCATACATCTGGCGTAAGTGCTAGTGCGTAGGATCTCCCAGGACCCAGTATTTGGAGGGTGGTGGTACTCAGTGGGCAGGTAGACTTAGTCAGTGTTTCGACGCACAGACAAGCAGGGTTTAGGGTTAACCGGGTTATGATACTTATAAACCTAGAATCGAAAATGACTAGTTCCTGAGTCCCTTGACTCTCCAAGCAGGATGTATCCAAGCCCAGTCACTCGCCACCTTTTTCACAGGCACTGACCACCTGGAAAAGCTTGCGGGACCCGGCTTCCATAATTCAAAACACACCTCATCCAAAACCCCCAACAGCCAGAACCCCAAACTCCGAAATCCTTAATAAATCTAAACGCCTCTATTAAACCTCAAGCCCAGGACCAGCTGACGCTACAGCCTTGACTCCCACGCCAAAAATGCCCTAACCCTCCTGCGAACCCGAAACCATTAATGATAAAGATACACCCTAAACACTAAACGCAAACGTCACAGAAACTTCAAAACGAGCACTCCAAGCATTCGAGACCCTTTATCCCACTCCACGGAAACCTCCCTCCAATTCGGAGGACCCCGAAAAGCCTGTAAGAGGTCTCGGGAACAAAGATTCACATCGGGTAAATCCTATGCACAAACGCTTCTGCCCCTAAACCCCCACACCCTAACCATACTTTATCCCCTCCAATCCTCCCAAGCTCTGAACTACCACGCCCTTCAACCCCAAATCCTGCATCTCAAAGCCGGAAAACACAGGGATAGGAATGTAGGGCCAAGCAGCTGCATTGATGAGCTGCACATCTGCCGCAACTTCAACAGAAGTCATGTCCTTATGGTGGGTCAACAGCTTTGGGCTTTTGGTTTCGGGGGCTTTGGAGTTAGGACTTCTGGTTTGCAGCAATCTCCTTCCGGGATTTGTTCTGAGCGCCTTGTCTAATGTAGGCCTTTATAGCATACTTATGATGACGAACCCGAAGGAATAATACTGGTAAATATTTAGGCTTCTATAGTAGTATGATGGCGATGACGGCCTTGTGGATGTTGGTGCTTCGGGCTTTGGGCGTCGAGGGTTCGCGGTCTTACCTTTGGTTAGTAGGGAATGGAGCAATGGTAGTAATAGTACTTATAATAGTACCCCATTCCTCCATTCCCTACTAACCAAAGGTACTTGAAGGGTCATGGGACTTAGTAACAGGATTATAATTAAGGTAACTATACTACTTATAATTACTTATAACCCCCAACTAAAGTATTTATAACCCCACTTACTAAGTCCCATGATCCTCCAAGTAAGCCTGGGTTCAGGGTCTTCTGGTTCAGGGCTTCGGATTCTGCGGCTTCGGGTTCTGGGCTTGGGCTCAGAGCTCACAGGTCCGGGCATCCTTGCGTAAAGCATCAAAACCCAGACCCTCGAGAGGATCCAAAAAGTAGATCCCTTAATGGGGGTTCGTATAAAGTACCCTTAGTAGAAAAGGGCCCCAAATAAGGGGATCTACTTTCAAAAGCCTCCCGAAATCTGGGAACGAGCTAGAATGTGCAACTGCTCGGCCAGCTCTGGAAAACTACATCGGTCATCTATTCTGATACAGTATACTAGAATACTAAAGTGTCGCTGAATTGCAACGCCTGTCCAGGAAATCCCATTTCAGCCGCGGTGCCTGTAGGATGGCAATCGCTGCCTCCCATTCGTTCCCTGCAGTTCTGCTTCGAATAGCGCCGAATTAGGGAAATGTAGCTCGGTGCAATGAAACTGAGACAGGATGGCAGCTCATTCCGCAGAAGCGCTCGCAAGTGGCTCTGACGTGTAGTGCAATGCACTTATCAGGAAACAGATATAGCTGCGTATGCGCATTGTAAGTGCGCATCATGTATATAGGGTTCATGCACCAACTCGCAGCATCAAACGGACACATCAATGTTCTTGTGCATGCAAGTTCGCATGCACCTTGTGCATGTGCACTTTTTTTTTGGGGGGGGGGATATGTAGATACTGAGGAGACACATCTGCAAATTGATCATATGCCGGTACGATGACGTGTCATGCACCTGAATGCACGAACCTCGTCAACCGTCCAATTGCTCGAGGCACAAACGTCAGAGCACCAACGGCAAACGTGAAGTCGTAAAACAAAATTCGAAACAAATGACAATAATGGCAGCTCCGCAACACCCAGTGCCTTCCACACAAGAGCTAATCGCTGCACTGAAGGCGACGGCGTCCCTTCGGACCTGCCGCGGATTGAAATGTACCGATGCTATGCTTCAGAGCTCGCGGTTCAGGGTTCAGTTTGTTTTTCTCGGGTTCCAAGGCCTGGAGCCAGAGGATTCGGGTTTGAGGTTTATGGTTTAGGTTGGAGTGCATCCACGACTACGGAAGCACAGCCCCTGAATATTGAAAACGGTAGTTCGCGTTGAAACTGAATCCATACTTAGAAATTTAACAACTCCCAACTCTCCCACAACCCCCGACAATAACTGCCATCACGATGGAAGCTCGCTGTCCTGTGCAAGGTTATGGCTTTAGGTTGCACAGACTTGGGGCTCATGGTTTTGAGTTTTGATTTTGTGATGTCGGCATAGAGTCTTTAAGGCTTCAGGGTTGGAGGGAGTCAGGGCTATCGCGGGAGAGGAGTATACGCACTTAGAATTCGGACTTCCGCAGGGCTCTGGTACACCTGCCCGACCCTAACCCGTAAACTTTGAAACAGCTAGTACCAATCATGGTTTCAACATCTTGCGGGAGTTGGGACTCAAAGGCTCGGGGCGGAGCGCGTTAAGGGAAGCGTCCGAACCCTCGTGATTCAGCCTCAAGTATGCCTTTTGCGCAAGCAACCCAGCCGCTCAACTCAAAATAACCCGAAAACCATTTTTCTCACTCGCCCAGCTGAAAGACCATAAGTGGCACGGTCTGAGGGCCCAAAAGCCTTCAAACCGCACCAGGCAGGCAAGGATCCACAAGTCGGTCAACACTGCCTGACAGCTACGAAGCAGACCTTCCAATATGCCTCAAAATTATATAAGGAATAAACCGTATTTCTACAGTAGGATCCATAACATGGTATACTGGATATTGAAATGTCTAGGTTATAAGGCAAATACTGCAACCCTGCACCGCACCTGATTGCGGCGCATGGAATGCAACAGCGCCAGGGCACTCTGCCAGTGTCCGCCTCCCAGCGGCTGCGTCGTCTATAGTTTGGGGTTTAGAATACACGCTCTCAGTACTTGAACAGTCGATACTTGGATGTTGAAAGGGTTCCTGAAAAGCTACTTCAGGGCGAAGGACTACACGAAAGAAGTGCTTTTGGACCCTTACGGTGATTGAGTGCACCTACAACCCAAAACCCTGAACGCTGCGATGCGCGTCGGAAAGGTTCAAGTTGAACCCTGCAGCTTGAGCCTTTTTCCCTAAACCAGACACTCCTATCTACCCCTGCTATACCCTTCAAGGAGCATAAGGGCTTTAAGGGCACCTGGTGGGGGTCCTGGCTCTTTAAAGGAACCCTAAACCCAGTTTAGTGCGTTTCTTGGGTATCGAGGAACCCAAGAAGAAAGTGTTTGACGAATTTGTTTGAGGTATTGAGTCTACAGTTTCGGGCTCGGGGGCCAGCAGGTTCCAGGATGGTATCAACTTGCAGGTTCCGAGCATGGAAAGGACAAAGAGATGCAAAGAAAGATGGAACAACGGAGTGTTGCGGAGGACGTTTTGCCGAGGATGCATCCTGGGGTAGTTTTTTTTGCGACCTTTGAAACTCCTTTATCCTGCTGTCCTGCGCCCAGGTAGTGGTACAGGGCAGTGTAGGAGTTGAGGGCAGCAGGAGCATTTAGCCTAACGGCTCGAAACGAACTAGCTGCGGCACTAGGGCCTGCGAGTGCTGATGGACCGGAATATGTTCTGAGATCAGGGTGCGGCAAGAGTTTTTTGACAACAGGATACTGCAAATGGGAGTTTCCGAAAATTAGGGGTACCTGATTTCTGGGTCCTTATAATAAGGATCCTACTACTTGGGGAACTACGTTGGGGTCCCCTGTTTTCGGAAACCCCCAAATAGACTCAGAGCCTGGCCGGGGACTTCTGCCACCACGGCACTTTCGCACGAGAGCGCCCGGTTTCTGTACTCTGTACATCCGATCAGGTGTGCGTGTTCGCCTGCGCTGCCCGTCTATCTGCCTGGATCCTGGTTTAGGTTTAGATCCAATCCAGTGGCGGATTTTCTTCTCCTGCTGCTGATTTTCGAGAACCCGAACTCCAATTGACATGAATGCAGGGTGCCATGTGCAAAATGCCTAACTGTTGGCTTGGGGGCTGTCGGGCCTGACAGCGGTAATAAGGGGGCTTAGGTATAATTGTGACGGATGCTACTATACTACTCATTGGGGGCCTGATTTTGGGGTTTGGGGCTTGAGCTGCTGTCGAGCTGCTTCTACCGAAAGCCTTTCGAGTTCAGACGGCGCTGTAGAAAAACTAGTACAGTAACTAAGGCATGAGAATGTAGCAGAGGAGCCACAGGCAGTTCAGACCGTGCAGTCACAAACGGTCATGCGCGGAGGATTCGGGACATGCCGCGACACTGCATGCAATCCACAGAGCTTGGCTGTGCGAAGCCACCTTTTCGAAGTCATCTACTATAGGGCCTTGATAAACAGAATAGGGCTTAGGGGCCCAGTATACTATAGTTATAATAAGGAACACCCAAATTAGTATAAGTAATTAGCTTCCTTGGCCAATCGTCAATCCACCGCTTCATCGTCGACCTCGCCGTAGATCGACGGCTACCTCCACCTAGGCAAGGCGTGCCGTCGTACACTTGAGGGTGCAGGGTTTAGGGACCCTGATCCCTAAACCCTAAGCCTAAACCCCAAACCCTGTAAATCCGAACATGCAATCCAAACCGGGCCACTCACACGATGTGTGGCTTGAGCTGCAGGGGAAGCCCCTACTCGGCCCTAAAGACATGTTGCAAGGCATTTAGACCGAGAGCTGCCGAAGCTGGAGGCATCTTCAGTGTGATAATAATTAGAATAGGGTTTTGGGTCCCAGACTACTAAAGTCGTTATAATAAGGAACCTCCAAAATAGTATAGGTTATTGTTAACGCCCCTGCAGTATCAGGTTTTCATCCGCCTAGCTTGGCGTCGGCACACATATGGGTTGAACTCCCGCTGATAGGGTGCAGCATCGAAGGCTGTTGCTGAATGCTGGGGGTGCTTTCGTGGTTCATCAGACATGTGAAAATGAACAGTCGGAAGCAACATGCGCCAATATGCCTGCGGCACAAGCGCAAGGCAGCGTGCAGCATGCGACCTCACTTCAGAACCACATCGGGTAATGGTTAATCGATTAACGGACTAGCAAGGGAAACGCACGAAGCTTGCTCCTCTGTCTGGCCTATGCAAGCAAACTCTTCCAACGACGACCGCTATAACACACGACCATCATGGTGAAGAAGGCATCCGGGCTACAGGTTCATGTGTTCACTCAGACTTGTCTTTGGAGTTTCAGGCAGATGAACCATGACCTCTGGACCGAAAACTGCCACAAGAAGGGACCTGATCTTTCTGCTTCCAGCACTTCTTCCCTAAAGATCTGAAAGCAACCTCAAATGTAGGGGCCTGAATAATTAGAGCGGGGTTTGGGGGCCCAATGTACTACAATCATATTGAGGACCCCCCAAGATAGTATTGGTAATCATTTATAGGCGCACCCTATATTGAGTCTAAGACAGCTTCAAGTGATGGCAGGAAGCCAGGCAAGGGCGGCTTCGCACGCAGCGACAGAGGACTCGAGAACGATGGCCTGGCAAAGGTCATATCAATGCATTCAAACCGACACAATAAAGAGGCCTTAACATAATAAGCCTATATATGTTTCTCTACAAACAGTTTGAGGTGCTATGGGCGTTTATGCATTGGCTTTTCGGGAGTTGTAAGGCTTGTTATCGGTAGATATGTCGGGTTGCCGAACTTGCTGGAAAGCAACGGGTTCTGGGTTTTGGGTTTTGGGTTTAGGGTGCGACTCAGACTCCGATGCCGAATGCTGCAACTACGGGGTCCGGGCTTTTCCAGAAACCTATGATCGAAATAAAGTTGGCGATCAGTTGCTTACAAGTGCTTCGCGACTTTCTACGTAACGCCTCTGTGTTTTTGTGTCAACCGTGTCTTTGCCACTTTCTCGCGACCTCATATGAAGCCCACTCTGCTGTTCGGTGTTCCGTGCTTTAGGTTAAGTGGGTGCAGCATCCGATCAGAAAGCCCTCATCACCTCTCCCCATCCCCCAAGAGCACGCGAAGCTCTGCTGCGACATCGAATACCGGTCGAGAACACCAAAGATCCATACATAGCTTGGGGAAGGGGGACGTCTAGAGGGTTTGTGGTGCAGGGCTTAGGATTCAGGCTTCGGGGTGCTCTCATGCAACGGGATTTGAAAACACGAAAACGGTTCAATCACGTCACCCAGGCATGGACCTTGTAGACTTGTAGAACCAGCATACTTTGGCCTTCACTTTGTGGATGCGTTTCAGTCGGTATGGAGGGTGTTGTACATGATGTGAGGAAACCGATGCCTCTGGGCGTCGTTGTCTCTTTGGAGGATGGCGAGCTCTCTTCCCCACGGACTTGCTCGTCTATCTGATGCACAGTTGTCCGAATTTGTTTCGCATGTGTACACTTTGATCAGAGGACTTTGATGGTGAGCCGACTTGACTGGGGCTTCTTGCTCTGCGTCGATGCCGGCTTCTTCGGTTGTTCGAGTTCGTTAACTGCCTGTTCGCCGTGGCGCCAGTCAGTCACAAACGACTTCATCAAGAACCTTGTAGCAAGAACCCTGGTAGAGAAATCCCTGGTAGAACCACTTCAAGAATCCTGGTAGACATCCTATATATATATATATATATATATATATATATATTATACCCTATCAAGAACCCTTGTAGGCAAGTCGCAGTTCTGGGCACCTCGCTCGTGTACATGAGGTCTAGCCTCACCGGCGATAAAAGCTTTAGGTTTAGGGCCTTTTTCTTTGAACCCAGAATCTGCTGATCAGCTGGGAAGCAGCACTGCAGTAATCGGGCATGAAGTAAATCAGCATCTGTGTGCATGTAAACATATCAGTGACATATCAGGTTTTGCAAGGCACATCGGCAGGCTTTCCACATGACCATGCATGCACCGGTAAACAAAGGCCTGAGCATCTGCACATGCATGTACATACATACCTCCAGAACCCAGGCAGGCCTAGATTGTATACGCTACTTGAGAGAGCATTCTTTGGCACCAGTTTACCGAAAGCAACCAAACCCTAAACCCTAAACCGGCCACACAGACAATAACAACCTCAACAGTTGTAACTCCAGGATGCTGACAGAATACAAGCGCCATCGTAAGTGTCAGTTGGAGGATGTCATGTTTAGCATGAGCAGAGGGGAAAGTATGGGAGAGTATTACAAACTATTTCGACGCAACTTAAACTATTTCGACGCAACTTCAGAAGACACTCACTTAATTACGAAGCCGAAACTGGGCATGACGGACATTCCATGCAAGAACCAACCTCAAAACCCCCAAAACGAAGCCCCGGAAACCACAGCCTACACTGGTCTGCCGAACACTCTAATGACCCTGAACCCCTGGACCCCTTAGTAGGGAATGGAGGAATGGGGTACAATTATAACTACTATTACTACCATTCTTCCCATTGCCTGCTAACCAAAGGTAAGGATAAGTCAGGCCGGCGGCCAGCTCAGGGACAGCTGCCACCGGCCGGCAGCACCACCTCGAGGTGGAGCTATTCTCAGGGCATGATGCCATGTTCAGCTTGTTTAAGGCTTAGGAAAGGATAGTGTTTCGGTTCTAGAATCTAGAACTTAGGACTCAGGACTCATGACTTTGGTCTAGGGCTTTGTAGTTCAGTTGTTGGGCTCTTGCCTCTGCTTAAGGAGCGGGCATTCCGACGGTAACGGTTTCGGGCTCCTTGCCCAAAGGCTCCATGTGCCCATTTAGCATTTCATAGTCTCTACTTAGGCCCTTTCAAGCGATTCCTATATAAGTACGTACTTATTCGAGGCCGACGACTATATTATATAGGTATATGTGTATATATATATATATATATACATATATATATATATATATACATATATATATATATAGAGGTACATGGAGCTGTAGGGTTGGTTCCATCCCCCTTAACTTGCCCAACATCACGCACACCTCGCATGGCGGCTTTGGTGGGTGACAGTCGTACTATAGTTACTACGGGGGCCTAAATAATTACCAATACTATTTTGGGCGTTCCTTATTATAATTACCTTGTAATGGGACCCCAAAACCCTATTCTAATTACTAAGGCCCCTATATTAGGCTTCCAGAAGTGTTTTGGAAGGAGGCCCCAACTTAAATCATGCGTGGTATGATTTATATCCATGCGCAACTGGGTAGAAAGCAAAAAGGTGCTTACTGAAAGCCGCCTCCGGAATTCACCATTACTGGCTTTCTCTTGCGAGGCGTGTGACGAACTGCCTGTCCCGGTACTTCTCAAGCCAAGCTCAATGCACTTCAAACGACGGCCCCTCTGCAATCTCCTTTTCAGCACGGAATGGGGTGCCGGCCAGCGCCTACGCAACTCTCAACCTCCTTTCCACCATAAGCCCCTGAACCCTGATGTGATTCCCCTTCAAGGGCCCAGCACAAAGCTCGAACTTCTCCATACAGGCTAGATAGAACCCCAGAGACTCCTTACACTCTAAACCCTAAGTCAAGAAGCTCGGGGAGTCCCATTGGCTAGCGTTCACCTTAACCCTCAAGCACCTACCTTCTTAGGGTTCCTTACTATGATGTCTTCACATAAGTCACAAGTCCTTAAAAGCTGTCGGATTTCGGGGATTCACCTTCAGGCTTGGAAGTCCCATGTGCAGAGGGCTTCGGAGGTGGAAATGTCATGGCGCACCACGAACCCTCGGCCTGTGGTGCTCTTGTACGAAGCCCAAAGGCTCGAAGGACTGTGATTGCAAGGCTTGCAACCAGTGCTCTTGCTATATGGGAGTTGCCCAAAATTGGGGGTACTTTATTTGGGGGTCCTTATAATCAGGATCCTACTCTTTAGGGTGCTCTATTAGGGCCCCCTATTTTCGGAGACTCCCATATACAATTTAGAGCCTTGGGGAGGCACAACACACCTGCAGCCAGGCAGCAGGCACTGACCACGGTCGAGTAGCTAACGACCTTGAGGTTGGGGCTTAGAACTGGGATAATACAGTGGCCTTAATAGTTAGAAAAGGGTTTGTGGCCAATTCGACTATAAATCCAGTAAGGAACCCCCAAAATAGTATGGGTAATTTATTTAGGCTCCTATAGTAAGCCAGTGAGTTCTGTTCATTGCGTTCACAGTCGCGATCTCGGGGGCGCATGGGAAGCATGATAGCAAGACGGTCCCCTGGGTTTAGAACTTTTGTTGCATGTTTGGGGATAACCAATAGTTGGGATACAACGGCTGCAAAGCGGTTGTTGTTTAGGACGGGACTTGTAGCGACAGCGTCCGCTTTGCAACCGGTACACTTCGATGGGGATCTGGGGGGCCAACCTACCGGACCGCACGAGACTACATCGGGGGCAGATGTCAGATGCTTCCCTGCAACCCAGAAATCAAATATTTCGTGTTCAAGGTGCAAAGCAGATGTGTGCTGGCCTTCAATGCTTTCAATAGGGAGTGGGCTATAGGATATTATACTTGTAATCAGGAGCCCCAAAACTCTATTCTAATAACTAAGGCCCCTGCATCATGCTCCACCTTCATCTTGGAACCTGACCTGTTGAAACTGATTTTTTTGGGCCGCCGAACCTCAAACCCGCAAACAGCTTGAAGCAAAACAATAACAAGGCCTGGAGAAGCCTAAATTCTGAAAAGCTTAGACTTCTGCCCCGGCATCATGCCTCTGATACAAACTGTCACTGAAGTCGTAACCTGAAGGTAACAGAGCTCAATGCCTAAGCATCCCGCATTGGGCACCAGGAGTCGGTCGAACATGGTCCACAGCAGCTGCGCGGCACGGTGCCTGTGGACTACCCACAGAACCAGCCGCTGGTGATGCCCTTTGCTTTGGACATGCCATCATCCGGCATGCCCCAAGCCCTGAATTCTGGTTCCATTCAAAGAATTTTTCAGTACCCGAGCCCACCCCTAATTTTCAGAGTATGATTTATAAAGCAATTTTTTCTGCTCTGGTTTAAGAAGGATTCATATTAAGTTCGGGGCTGAGGTTTGCGATACAGCCTTAAACCCCAAAATACGCTTGGGGGATAACATGGCCTGACCTCCGCTGGGAGTGGGTTTTCAGCTTCAGCCTGAAATGAACACATACGAATGTAAAAGTAAGGTCTTTTTCGCGAAGGATTTCTTCCACACGTCGCGATGCCAATTTCTACTGCACGATATCCCTTGCAGATCATGCCTTGCCCCTCACATCCTATCGTTGGTAGTAGCTGGCCGTGATGTGGCACTGCTTGATATAGGAGTTTCCGAAAATAGGGGACCCCAAGCTAGCACCCTAAACAGAAGGATCCTTACTATAAGAACACCAAAATACGGTGCCCCCTATTTTTCGGAAACTCCCATGTCGTCTTCTGAAAGTGTGAGTCACAGCTGGGGCAACCTAGGGGATTTCGGTATCGAAGTTGACCAAGAGCCATTACTCAAAAGGTCATGGGGCTTAGTAACTAGGATTACAATTAAGGTAACTATACTTATAGTTACGTATAACCCCAATTCAGGTACTCATAACCTTACTTACTAAGTCCCATGATCCTCCCCACAGTACACTTCGCACTGGAGCATTTACTCTAACTACTACGTGCAACTACAAGGAACGACCTTGGGACAAGAAGCAAAGAAACAAAAACAGATGACCGTGCTTTGAATCTGAATCTCTCATGTGCAAGAAGGGGTAGAGAAAAAAAACACGGCAACTCGTGTGACCCGCTCTGCGAAGGATTCAGGAGCAACTTACACTCACCCCTAAACCCTACAAGTCTAAACCGAAATTCAAAGCCCGAAGAAGGATTCAGGATCAACTTGCCCTCACCCCTAAACCCTGAAAGTCTAAACCGAAAATCAAAGCCCGAAGAAGCAAAGCCCGTGGCCATTGGTGGCCCTGCTTGCAGGCGCTGATGGCAGAGTTGGAGCCTGAGAGGTTTAGGGGTTTAGGGTTTAGGGTTTGGGGATTTAGGGTTTAGAGTTTAGGATTTAAGGGTTCAGGATTTAGATGGTTTTGGGGGAAATAATACGATTAAGGAATTTAGGGTTTAGTTGGTTTTGGGGTTTGGGGTTTAGAAGAAAAATCAGGAATAACCCCTTAATGGAGGAGTGTAGTTGGATTTTAGGGGTTTAGGGTTTAGTTGTTTTGGTGGTTTAGGGTTTATAATACGATTAAGGAATATAACCCCTTAACTGGAGAGTTTAGTCAGCTGTAGAGGGTTTAGGGTTTAGGGCCTAGGATCCGGGAGGTCAACCGCTGGAGAGCTTCTAGGTTTGGGGAAACCCAGGGATGCAAAGGACCCAAGAACTCAAGATTCTATACAGGTTTACCCGAGGGCTTTGGGGTTTTAATCCCAAAGGGCTCTGTATCCGGGTGCTTGTATTTAGAAAGTTCGAAATTCAAGATGGGGTTTAAAGGGGTTAGTTTTCAGGGTTTAGGGCATATCCGGGGGGTTCAGCACCTCTTCCATCTGCAGTGCAAGTGGACGCGTGGCAGGCAAGCGAACCTTCAACTGTACGACTTCAAAAATATCTACTTAGCTCAAGGGACGAGCTTAGTAACTTAGCGCTTAAGGCAACCAACCATTTCAAGCGAAGTTAAGGTACACACTCCTGAGTTGCATTCGCACACATCCAAGGAAAGTGCCAACACTCACACCTCGGAACCGTTAACCCCAAAACTCGGATACTAAAACCTACAGCTTCGCTTGAACAGCTGCATGCGGACATCAAGCCGTTTTCGATATGTGGATGTGCCCTCAATCAACAAAACTGGTACTGAACATATCAGTATGTCTTTGCCACATCGTCTCTTTTGGGTTTGGGGTCCTCAACCCAGACGAAACCCCAAAAATCCTACCGTAAAGCCCGCGCTTTAGGGCTTTCCTGGATCCCAAATTAAACGACTTACCGTTTTAACAGGGAACACTAAAAAGGAAGGGTCCAGGTAGGGCTTAGAGAGGCGCCAAAAAGCTGATGACATCAGCCTGGATGTGTTGCGCACACATGGCAACCAAGAGCTGCAACCTCTGTGCTGCTGTTCAGGATATGTGGTCTGAAGGTTTTGATTTGGAAACTGGAAATTTGAGTGTCGGAGCTGAGGACCTAACAAAAGAAAGGCCTGAAAAGTTAGAAAAGGGGTTTGGATGTTTTGATATGCACTATACTATGACTCCTACCGACTCGCAATACCTAAATACAAATCCTCCGGGCTTCTCCAGGAGACTACTAGACCTAGACCGAAGCATAAGATAACATGACCTCCTGGGGCTTCGCCGAACGTCCTTACCTTCTTAAGCCTACGACTTCGGCCCGAACCTGCTCATCCTGCATACTCGCGAGGATTTTACGGTTTTTTCCCTCCTACCGAGCAAGGACGAAGCCCGCATTGCAGGGAATCTCGGTTGAACAGTTTAGGGTTTAAGGTTAAGGGTTTGGGGTTTAGGGTTTCCCGAAACCCTAAAGCAGCTGGTGTCAGCCAGTCAGGACTTGCAGTAAAAGCTTGATATGACAGCACCAGCCCGAGTGCCAAAGACTTCATGCCTTCAGCCCAACAGGAGCCACCACATCCTCTGCTTCTGTGGACTGGTGAGGTGTTGCGAAAAAAGCTAGGGGTTGAGCTGTTGAAAGGGCTCCGGCTAGGATCAAGTAATTGCCCTGGCGCCCCAAGCTTTGACAAAAGAGTTAGTGTTTCGACTCTCGCGTTGTCAGTCAAGGCTCACAACCACACGTTCGTTCTTCAGGTTTGTGGGGTTCATGGATGGAAGTAGGGCTTGGGGACTGGAAGAGACTTGCGTGCTGCAGTAATTAGCGGTTTCAGCTGTGGGGGTCGGGTTTAATTACGGTAGGATCTGTACACGTCGAGATGTTTCTAAGGTGCAGTCGGTTGGCGCATGCTGCCATTCCCCAACTTTCTCGCAGGCTGCGATGGTGGTACTGAAGGTCACCTCAGTGCAGCGTCCTTCGTCTACCTGATTGGGGGGAACAGGCTTCGAGGCCGTCTACTCAAAGGCGATCAGCCGGATGAATAGAAACATCATGCTACTAAAAGCAGCTAGGCAACCCTAAGCCCTGAAACCTAAGCACTGAGCAACAAGTATCCAACGAATCATGACAAACAAGGAGGGAAAAGGCTTCGCTTGAACTCCACACTGCTAAAATTAGAACAGAGGAACCCTAAACATTGTATCCTAGACCCTAAACCCTAATGTATTACTAAATACTCGCCCTTTTCCCAACCGTTTGGCTCGGGCTGAGGCTTTGATTCAGGAGCCAAAGCGGGGGGGGGGGGGGGGCTGGGAGTTCGCAAGAACCCTCTTTCGTCTCAGGGGTTCAACGTTTAGGACAGTTTAAGACGTTCGGACTTTAGTGTTGAGTTTGCAGGGTTTGAGGATTTTAGAGTTCAGGGTGGCGGGTTGAGGGTGTGAGACGAAAGCACTAAACCCCAAATCCTCCTGCAAAGCGTATCGATCTGCCGCCGAGCCACGAGATTTGGCAAAATGTCCGCCTCCACAGCATTCATTCGGGGGCGAGGGGAGGGCGGGGGTGAGGGAATGTGCTCGGATTCCAGTGAAAACAGATATACGTACCAACATACATGTATACATATAATCAGGCAGACACCCATACAGCATGCATACATACACACTCACGTGCATACCCACATCCGTGCATGCATGCATGCATGCATACATACATCCACACACAGAGACGCATACACGGAGACCTACATACATATAAGTATGTACATACATACATATACACATACGTACATGCAAACACAGGTGTACATATATATGTATATACATATGCTTCTCTGTCTGGCTATCTATCTTTCTTCCTTTCTATCCGTCCATCGATCTATCTTATAGTACAGCAACAGCTCAAGGTTGAAATCTTCTGTCATGTTTCGGGCAAGCCATGGCGCGAGTCAGACGCCCAGCCCTTCCGAATCAGGAAGCAAAGCGACAAGCCCAAAGCAGACTTAAGATTCACCTTGTTGAGCAGTTTCGAACCTCTGTCATGAATCTACACGGCCGTTTGGCATAAGCCGTATACACAAAGCCTGATAAGCCACATCCATAGACAACTCCCCAAACCACGATGGTCGTATTAACACAGCCATCTGCAAAGCCTCATTTTCAAGCGGGAACAAACCCAAACCTCAAACCCCAACACCCAAACCCTACTTAAACCATTAAGCCCTACGGTAACCCGAAACCCTCAACCCCTAAACCCTTAAACCCTTCTAACCGTAGACCCCAAACCGTAAATCTCTCAGACTCAGTTTCAAACCCAAACACCCTGAAGCCCGCAACCCTGAACCTTGAAGAACAGCCTCAGCCATGGCTGCCAGCGTCTCCAAAGCTTTGGCTGCTTTGCCCTGCTGCGCTGCAGCCTTCAGTGAAGCCTTGGGTGAGTGGCCAATAAGGTTTACAGGCTTTACAGCTTCGGGTTTAGGACTTAAGGGTTTAGAGGTTTAGGGATTAGGGTTGAGGGTTGAAGGTGTGGGGGTTTAGGGTTTTGTAAGGCATTGAATTTAGCATCTGGGGTCTAGGGTTCTACTGGCTACGGTTCAAGGTTTTAGGGTGTGCCTCCTGAGGTTTCTTGAATTTCTGGGTTTTGCAGCTTAGTAAGGCGTACGGTTTCTTAAGCTGAGGGGCTCTCTCCTTCAATAACCGGGCCCAAAAAAGTTTAAACTTTCTAAGATAGACCAAATATATAAGGCCAGAAAGTTTAAAGTTCGCCCATTGGCTATCTAAGGGGGGTTCGTGGGTTGAAAGCGCAGGTTTTAGGACTTCTGGAACCCCAGGGTCTCTAGAAGTCGACTAGAACCCCAACTTGGAGGGTCTTTTTTAGGGGACTTCGTACCCTTAAGGGGATCTATAGGGGTTCTATAAAGGGCTCCTTTAAGGGGTCTATAAGGGTTCTATGAGGAGGGTCGGGGGACTTAGCAAATAGTTATGTTAGAGACTTATAAGTATCGTAACCCCTATTCACGGTCCCCATTAGGGTACTTACAAGTCTACTTACTACCTACTGACTATTTCCCCGACCCTCCAAGAAGGGTTCCAAGTACATAAAATCATATACTCTCCCAAAACTGAACCTACATAACTACTATCCTAAACCCAAGTACCTGATTCTGGTGTCCTTTGGACCCTTGGGGGAAGGTTTGTGTGTAATTTTTTGAGGGCTTTACGTGTTGGGAATGTAGAGTAGAGGCTGTCGCAGGGCTTCTCTAGAGATTTTGGTGCAAATTCGATGTCTGAGTCATTCTCAGGTCCAGGTGAGAAAATGCAGACTTCGATGTGGAAGTAAATGTGTGTTCGCATGTTTGTGTGTGTGTGTGTGGGGTTGTTGTTTGTATTTCACACCGCAACCCTAAACCCCGAAGACTGTGACCAGTGGACAGGTTTCCCTCGGAGTGCCGGCTGGTGAACTGATCTCAGCTGTAAACCGCAAACACCCCAAACCCAAAACCAACCCCTGAGCCCTAAACCTTGAAGGTTTGAGGTTGCAAGCCTCGTAGAGGTCAGGATAGGCGACTACTATTAGTACCAGAAGCCGTGCTTATGTAGAAACGTACTTCAGGGCTCATGGTAAGGGCAAAACACAGTTACCTTGTAGCAGCGGATTTCGCCACTAGTTACTATCTTTTTGTTGCGCAGACTTGTGCATGCCCTTTCTGCTAATGGACTATTGCAGGTCGCGGTCTGGCTGGACTTGTACATGCCCTAAGCCCTAAACCCGGATCGTATATAGGTTTAGGGTTTAGGGTTTAGTTTAGGGCCCTAGGACTTGATCCACTTTCCAAGCCACATTGAAGCTCACAGTGTCACGCCGGACGGCTGCACCTCGCAAGTGGGCAAGCTTCGTGGGCCTATTCCGGTCTGGGATTCTCCAGGCTTCAGGATACAGCGCTTAGAGTTCAGGCGCTCTGTGATAGCTTAGGGCGTACAGGATTCAGGGTGCTGGACTTACAAAGCCTCTGTGGGTTTTAAAATGCAACTGGGCAACTCCGATCATGCACTACAGTACATGGGGTCGGATACACACTGCGAGAATCAAGACCCAGTAACTCTGCCTTAATCCCCTAGCCCGAATCGAACATCGTATACCCTGCAGTCCGATCTCTGCACCCCCTGGCCTTCCCTACAACTCAGTGAAATCCTAAACTTGACCCTAAACCCAACGACCCCTAAACGCAGAACATCCCAGAACCCTACACCCAAACCCTAAACGCTACCCTTAAACCGGCATTATCAGCCTGGCATCTCCGCGAACACCACCAAGGCCCACTGCCATGCCGATGCCTGATGCCACTCTAGCTCCCCAAAGGCTCCATGTAGCCATACAGTATATTATACTTATACCCCAAAGTACCCAAATAGGAACCCCTTTAAGGCCTAAACCCTAAACCCTAAAAAATAGGAACCCCTTTAAGGCCTAAACCCTAAACCCTAAAAAATAGGAACCCCTTTAAGGCCTAAACCCTAAACCCTAAAAAATAGGAACCCCTTTAAGGCCTAAACCCTAAACCCTAAAAAATAGGAACCCCTTTAAGGCCTAAGTATATACTGTATGGGCACATGGAGCCTTGGGGCTCGCTACGGCGTAGGAGGCTGAGGGCTTAGGGCTACGGCATGTGGCGTTCTGGTTGTAAGCTCTGGGTCGGGCCTACAGTTTAGGGTTAAGGGGTTAGGGTTTAGGGGTTAAGGGGTTTAGGGTTAAGGGCTTTAGGCTTATAACGAATTAGCAATAGTCTATATAATCTACTGGTAAAAAACCCAGGCCCTAGTCTAATCCTTAAGGCCCGTAATTTATTTCGGGCTTTGATTAGCGGTTTAGATGTAGGGATTCGGCGTTTTGGGGATTAGGACAATGGCAAAGCTTATTGTACATCTTCGTCATGAGTTTCAAGATTTGAGGATTGCAGGCTTGCTGGGTTTGGGGTGCCGAGGGGCGACTCAAACCAAACATGTGTATGCATGCTCAGGACAACATGCGATAGAAAGCTTCAACGCCCGTCAGCAATGAGTTGAACAAGTGAGGTTGCTGACGCTTCCGAAGGCAGGAGTACCAAAGGTCACCAGTTTGCATCACTTGTCCACCCATGCGGGTTTGTGTCATGACATGTTCATACCTCAACCTACTCACCTACCATAACCTGCGTTTTGGGGGCTTCTCCCAGTGTTGTCTATACTTCTGGCTTACGGCATGGGCCCCGGAGACGTAAAGAATATCCCAAGGCAGAACGCCTCGGCTTCAAGGCGAGCTATTGAAGCCCAGGGATTGGGGCCGAGGCTTGTTGATCGAAGCACTCTGAAAACCGTCCAATCGTGCCAGTCTAGCTGAATGTGCGGCACTATCGCCCGCCTGCGCGCATGCACTGACGGCCTCAGTCGATCGTGCGAGATCTAGGACACAGGCAGGAGATGGTGTGCAGGGCTAATGACTACCTGTAGTCTCCATTGAAGTTCCGCTTTGGGGTTATCTTATAGAACCCTACTTATAAAATTGGCTAAGCCAGAAAAGGACCTACAATGGAGATTGCAGGTAATGTTTGGGGTGCCGGTTCCGAGCTTGTACATTTGTAAGGCTACGTCTCTGGACCTGACAGACAATCATCCTTTCTGCCATTAGGCTACCTTGTAACGTGCATGACTACATGAGCGGAGGATGGTGACCTACAGTTGTACACTGACTTGTAACTAATTAGAACATGATGGAATGGTTCTCAGCCAGCAGGCATACAGTGCCCCGATACTCTTAACCTACAACTGCCAGTGCCGTAGACGCAAATACCTCAATGCGGCTGTTTGGCCCATTAACTGTCTAGGGATCAAAATAGCCCAAAAGCCTCATATAGTATGGTGTTTGGGCCCAAAACCTTTACTAAATGAGTCCTTATAGATCCCTAGGGATTAAGGGAAAGCAAGTCTCGAAGATGACAAGACGAAGCCACATCTGAGCATCTGGTGTGACCTGAGAACATGCAGGGCCTGGGAAAGCTGCCGAAACTTCCGAAAGACGAAGCACAAACGAACACCCTAAACCCTACAGAAGAGGACGCTGTGGGAACCTATGGTTTTGTAGTTTTCGGTATCGGTTGCATGGTTTTCGGAAGTCTCACAGCCCAAACCCTAAACCTTAGGTGCTTCCCCCATACAGTAGGATTCTATAATGGGGCTATGTCTATATTATGCATACTATTCAACTGTTACTGAGTGGGGGCAGTTCCAACCTAAACCCTATAAACACAGGATCACGGGTCCACTTGTTAAAGCTGGTTCTTTGATTCCAGCGCAACCAATCAAACGGGTTGTTCAACGGAAAATCGAGCGAAACAGGGAAGCCAAGGAGAGGACTGCATTGTAGCTGAAGGATGTCGGCTGCACCTCGCACTTTATGTCGAAACTCAGGGCTTTAAGTATTTCTCCTCCGGCCGGCTGCGTCAATACTCACGGAATGGATAAGGATTCGGAGGCAATGTTCGATTCGGGGTTTTGGGATGCCGAGGCGGTGCAGACCTCGAAAGGAGAAGTGAAAGGCCATTGTCAAAGCAATCCCGAAGGATACATGTACCCGACGAGTATATACTTTGGCCTTAAAATAGTCACTATGCAAGTACCTTAAAGTAGTCACTATGTCAATACTTTAGGGCCAAGTATGTACAAGATATTACTAGATGGATACTTGGACCCTTTGGGAATGAGAAAGACTTGGCGAAAGCAGGCATTCGGAACTTGAATAGAGGGGGCTGAGGACCACGTGCTTGTGGGTTTAGGGTTTAGAGTGATACCGTCCGGCGACCGGGGAGGAAGTAACAAGTCTCAGTCAGTGTAGGGCAAAATAATCTCGCAAGCCAAATTTCGAAAGCCTCAGCTCCCAATAAATGAGCGGTACCTTGTTTTGGGGTCCTCATAATAAGGATCCTACTATTTAGTTTACTAGATTAGGGTCCCCTCGGAAACTCCCATCTATGAATCGATGAGGCATCTTCAGAGCTTGTTGCCTTGCAGAGCCAGCCCTTCAACACTTCTCCTTGCTTCTGAGGGGCACTCCCCCCTACTGAGAATATTCCCGGACTGTATAAAAAGTTAAGCTCATGCGACATTCACAGGACTCTTTCAGAGATGTGGCTTGAGGGAAGTCATCGGCTTGGAACCACCAAGCTCTGAGCCAAAATCTTCCTGGAAGTCTGTACCCGGTGACATGAAACCGTCCTACACGCCCACATTGAGAGATCAATGTTGACAGATGCAACCCTGAGACTAATCAGATGTGAATGCCCTAGACCCTTGTCGCACGGACTGAAGTGCCGGTCAGCGCCTACGGAGTTCTTACCCCTAAACTCTAAACCCTGAGACTAGTGAGACATGAATGCCGGCATGCTGCCGATGCAAACGGCATCGTGGCCAGCATGAACAACGCCAACTGCCAAAGGCCACCCTGCAGCGGATTTCGTGCATCTTGAAGCCCAAAGACAAGAAACCCCTTACTTTGAATACCCTGGAATCCTTCTGACAATTTACAATCTAAGTGTGCCAACATGGACATGCGCCGCCAATACTGGCGCATGCCAAGAGACACAATCACAAACACATAATCGAGGGGTTTCTGCTGCAAGCTGTTGAAGTTGCTTCTTCTTCAACAACCGGGCCCCAAAAAGTTCCTTTGAAAGATAGAGCTAATGATGTATAAGGCCCAGCAGTTTAAAGTTCCCACGTTCACTATCTAAGAGTTCGCTCAGCTTCCCAGGCCCAGGTCCCCCACACTGCAGCGACACCCTGCCGAAACTTCAACAAGTGTTCTTGAGCGGCCTTTTCGCAGGAGCTGATGACGCTTCGGAAACCTTTGGGCAGGCAGTGAAACCCAGCATAGGGGTCGAAAGCTACTCTAAGCCCTATGATGTAGCAGGGTGATTAAGAGAAAAAGTGGCCCCATAACCCCAAAATATTATAGGCTTCATTCCCATAAAGAATCCCAGAGAAGAGACTATATATAATCTTTCTTTTTCAAGGAGCCTATAACGTAACCCCAAAAAGGTACCAGAACGGAGACTCGAGGCTGAATCCAACAGCGCTCACTCTCCAGCCAAGCGGCTCATCTCGTCCGGGGCCAGGACCTCCTCTTCAGAGTGCTGGGTTCCCACAGACTCCAAAACCCCTTTATTGAGGAATTGTCCTAAACCTTATTTTGTTCCTATCATGATGTAAGCTGGGAGGGTATGTTTGCTCCAAACAACCCAAACAACTCCTGAAGCCCTAAACTCAAACACGAAGGCATGCCCATGGCTGCTTCGCACAACCTCATCTGCCTCTCACTCTTAGCCATGTTTCGGGGTTCAGAGCCACGGGGTGCACCTCCAACATCTGTGACAACAGCTCCGAAGTCCATCGCCATTGGGCTGCAGCTTCGCAACAGCCGAGGGCAGCATTGAAACCTCAAGCGGCCAGAAAAGTCAGGAAAAAAACGGGACGAGCTGCCATGGGTTCTTTGCTATCGTGATGCACAAGCGAATCACATTCAAGCAGAAACGAAGGTCATAGTAGTTCATAAAGGCGAAAGTTGGCACAAGGCTCTGGGGTAGGAATTAGAGGCACATTGGGGCCTAACCCTGAACTCCTAGCTTATGGCTTTCATTCCGGTACCTCTTTGAGGTGGATGAGACAGCTCACAGAGCCCCGCTGGGGAATAGAGGAATCCCGCGTTTCCCTATCGGGAACGATGCCATTTTGCCACAGCAGTAGCAGTGATTAAAGGGCGACCACATCCTCTTGCATGAACAACCTAAGCCCCAACTCCCTCAAGCCCTGCATTCAACCTTGAACCCCTCAAAACCCCCCTCCAAACCCAAACCTCAAGAACTCTACTCTAAAGTCTTGGAAGTTGGGCCAGAAGCTTTTATCCGTCCAGGCAGCTAATGATGTCTGCCTCGACAAGGCGGGTTTCATAGCATTAGAGGCGCCTTCTCTAGGTTCTCTTTAAGCAGGGGTGTATGGTTTAGTGTTTTAGGGTTAGGGTTTAGGGGTTTAGGGTTTACGGTTTAGGGTTGGGATTTAGGGTTTAGTGGGCTAGGGTCCTTGTGCTGAAGAAGATCATCCTCTTTTGACGGTTCTGTAGGTTAGGGTTCACCTAGACCCCCCCAACTACCCCCTATTATTCCCGAAATATCCGTTGTTCGGGAGCATAAGAGCTACTCAGCTACGAAGTACACCAGTCGTCTTAAGGGTTTTTTACTTGCGCACTCTCACTCGGCAGGCACGGTTTCATGAGGTCCGTTTAGGGGTTTAAGGTTTCCGGGTAGCCGGCCGCAGTTGTGTGGTGGCGACTGCGACGCATGGCATGCCCACCCAACCGACAACCAGTGGCTAACCCTCCAGCACACTCGACATGAACCCCGGGATGTATTTGATCGCATTGAAGTGTCGGCGTAGTGCCAGTCCCCCCCCTTCCGAAATTCCAAGCGCGCCATCTTTGAGTAAGCAGTATTGTAATGGAAGATCTGCTTTCACGGTCGTTAGAACACCAAAGTAAACTTGATTAGCGGCTCATGATTTGCCTCCCTAAGCCCTAGATCTTATAAGTGCTTACGGTCTGAGGCTTCAGGCTAAGTTGAGACAAAAGTGACGCCTCCAGCCGATTCGAGGGCAAGGTGTGCAGCAGCACCATCGCACGTTGCCAAGGCTGCCAGATATTGCGACTCCTGGATGCAAAGCACATCCCCTTAAACCGTTCGTGGCTGCCTGCGAAGCATGAAAGACAGCGGATTCAACAAAAGGAAGTGCAGCTACACCGACTTTTGCACCATGTCTGCAGATGTGTGCAGAAGGATATATAAGCCAAAGCATAGTGGCCGAACAGCGAAGGGGTTCGTAGTGGAACCCTACACCACGACCATAACCGGGCCTGAATCCTGATCAAACAGCATCCCAATACCACGGCGGTGTTCTTCTACAGCGACCTTGATGCGCAGACGCCTTGCATCTGTTCTTGGGGTCCCGTTTCAGGCCCGCAAAGTATTACGGCAGCTTCGTAAAAAAGGACCTCAAAAGGGACCCTAATGAGAAACCTACCCATGTGCTTTCAGGGCACCAGCGTAGCTTGGCCGAATATCTGGGATCTGTAGGAAGCCCCGCAGGGAGCTCACATGCGCTGATGGTAGAGTTGAACCTTCGATCATCGCGGAGCCACGGGAAAGTCGTAGGCCGGTCTAGGGACTTTCGGGTCTAATGTAGGGGCCTTAATAATTAGAATAGGATTTTGGGGCCCACTATACTATAATCACAATAAAGAACCCCCACCATAATATTGGTAATTATTTAGGCCCCTATATTACATAAAGCTTCTTGACACTGCAACTTTAATAGCTGTCTATTCATCTATCTAGCTATCTACCTAACTACATATATGTACATCACCATGCACGCGCACACACACACACACACACAGAGACCGATATATCTATCTATCTATCTATCCATCGATTGATCGATCTGCCACCTGTAACAGCCCCTGCCATATCTGTGCGACTTGGTCTGAAGCATTTTGCCGTGGTCTGTCTGGCGTGCATACTGTAGAAGGAAGTCGTCATGGAAAATCGGCCAACAAATCAATCAACCCGGTGAACAGGCAAGCCCCCCCCCCCTCCCCCCAGTTTTTAGCATCCAAAAAAAAAGAATTCGAATACAGACCCAGAGTTTCTACGCCCTAAATCCCTAAACCAGTGCCCAGGCTGGAGGTTTTGAACAAAGCCCACTGCTCCGAGCTACGGTCCCCTTAGGGTCCTGATTCTAACAATGTAGGCGCCTAATAAATAGAATAGGGTTTTGGGGCCCATTATGCGCTCAAGAAGGAACCCCCAAAAAATGGTGGCGCCTATAGGTGGATGATCAACCGATCTCTACACGAGAGCACTCCCGTTCTTATATATCCAAAAGATCCCGGCTCGAGCTTCCCGAATGCTCCCTGATTCTGTATCGGCACAAGAACCCTCACCACTAGACCACTCCACAACTACTTGGAGGGTCGGGGCGCATTTAAGATGTAGGCAATAAGCAGACTGATAAGTACCCTAACAAGGACCCTAATTGAGATTGTGATACCTATAAGTCTCTAACATAACTTCCTACTAAGCACCCCGACCCTCCAACTACTCCCTGAAGGCTCCGGAATACTCCAGGCCCTGTGGCGATATCAGGCTGCTCTGCCGCCGGCGCTGTGCCGAAAGGAGGAGGCCAAGCGCATGAAGCCAGGCACCTCTCATTCGGATTGATAGTTTTTTTGTTGAACTCATTTTCCCCAGAGGCGGCAAGTCTGCGACTCCTAATAAGGCTTGAGTTGATCTTTTAGGGTTCAGGTTTATATCAAGGTATGTAGGGTTGAGGGTTGCCACATGGACAAGGCTTCTAAAATTGAGAGGCTCCGTCGAAAGGGTCTTGTAGGATCCGGCTACTTAGGAGCCCAGATTACTAGTCGTTTTTTGCATTCTAAAACTCTCAGATCTGCTGAAGACTGCTCTTAGAGCCATGGTGTGGAAAACACCTCCGGGTAGAACGCCTGCCTCGCTCCAAAGAGTATAATCACAGCTTTCTTACCCGAAGCCATACAAAACCTGATACGTTTGAAACCCGAAGCCGTAAAACTAAACCCTGAATAACCTACCTCTTTGGGGTTCCTTTTCCTATTATGCTTTCCTTATATAAATCCTTAAAAAATGGTAGGTTGTTTAGGGTTAAAGGTAAACCCTAAACCCTAAGCCCGGATCCTGAACTCCGAGTCAGGAGCCGGCAGTGGACATGTGCAGCCCACATCGAAACATCTCGGTTTAGGGTTTCGGCGCTCACACTCGGACAATCCAGGCGAGGCATATGGTTCGGAAGTCTGCTGAGTGAGACGCTTTAGGGTTTAGGGCTTAGGTTTTTTGTTTTGATCGCCTCTTCCCCCCCGCCAGGCTTAGCTAGGGATTAGCATCTCGATGCCAGGGAACTGCAAATCCACCACACCCCAAGCATGCAAATGGCAGCTACTTTTAATGGTAACTCTTCTGGGGTATTTAGAGTTGTAGGGAATGACAGTGGCGGGCTCTTCCCTGAAAGCCTGAACTAAAATTAGAAACACGTCGGAAGGAAACGGAGATTGATGATGCAGCAACACAGGATAGGCATTACTCTTCCACGGAAGAGGCTCCCTTTCAGGAAGATTTCAAGCCAGAATGCACAGTGGCTTCTTCGCAATACCTATGAACCCGAAACAATCCTAACCCTACTAGCCCATGAACCAAGAGACTCCAATATCCCTTGGTTAAGGAAAGTTCCTTACATCATATTCGGGATCCTACTATAATTTGAGGTATCTTCCTCAATTAAGGGATATTAGACTCCGCCAAACCCTAAACCCTATAGATCCCTCAAAGGAACCCGTCTTTCGGAGGCTCTGGTTTTCAACCCTAACATCCTCAAGGGAGTCCCAGGTGCGGCTGCTGCCACAGCTGGCCAAAGCAGAGTTTAACCTTCGTGGCTTCTGAGGTGTGCAGCAGAAGAATCGGGAGGCAGTATGAGAAGAAGTCAAGTCTCTTTCAAGCAGCTGAAGTCTTCCGGCTGCCCTAAACCCTAATTCTCTGGGCTGGGCCGCTTCACAGTTCGTGGGTAGATACAAGTGAAGTGCTAGTTGGGTGAACACAGACTGTTAGTCTACAGCATGGCTTACATGCTTGAAACTTGAAGCCGTCTTTACTCATCCATGCGCCCTTTGTTCCTCCCTCCCAAACAGCCACAAACAATCAAGGCGTATGCGTAACTAGGCCAAAAAAGCGTTTCAAGTACCAAATGGCAAGGGGTTCACAAGAGCGTGGGTTTTCTGGCTCATATATCACGTCCGGATCTGCAGAGTTGCGGCTCCTTGCAATGAGCTTCAGATGAAGCATCCTCTCGATGGGATGCTTGACGTTCGCCGCCGAACGGCTCCTTCCCTCTTCTCAATCACTATAGAGTTCGCTTGACTATAGAGTTCACAACTTGTGGGTCCGGACATAAGGGCGAGTTGATGTCGTTCGGCTTGTCCCGAAATCTTGGACGAGCGACGTTGCAGTGGCGACTTGGACAGTGCTGACGACGCACATCCTTGGCTGCATAATGCATCGGAGAGCAAAGCTTCACTACGGAGTGTCGAGTGAATATCTATGAGGCACGTAACATCGGCGACACTCATCACGAAACACGCGCTCGTTTTGGGGAAGCTTCTGGAAGCAATCGTGGCGAGCTCGCGCCTGCCGGAACTTAGAAGCCTCAAACCCCTAAACCCCTATGATTCCTAGACCCCAGCAGTTTGGATTGAAACCCATAATATATATATATATATATATAATATAATATAATATATATATATATATGTATATATATATATATACATACAAATAAAGAATATATATATATATATATATATATATGTATACACACATGCAAATATGTACACGCATACCCTAAATCCTGAAGACCACCCGAGCAGCTCGAGAAGCCACAGCGAAGTGCGCCAGCTGGCCAGTCTACAGGCAGAGATGGAAACGTTGTAACCTGAAGCAGGGGATTTAGGGGTTTACCGGGGTTTATACGCAGCCCGAAATCATCTGGGATTGTGCAGACTCATCGAAGCCGACTTGCTGTGCACCTAATAGTTAGGAGCCTTTTGGCCCAAATGACAGGCAGCTGATGACATCTTTTCGGAGACTTCTCTCGATCTCACGGAAGATACACAGAGCCATTTTCCATCCGCCTGGGCAGCCAGAGGCTTTCCGCCCTAAGAGTCATTGACGGTAGTAGACGGACACAAGGACATAACAACTGTAGCACGAGCAAGAGCGACCTACTAGTACCAGTAGTGCAGTAAAGTGAGTGCTTGGAACCTCTTTGTGAATGGGCTCTTATCCCTGGGCTCAGAGCACTTGTGCTGTCGAGGCCTTTCTGTCATGCTGCAGGGACACGAGACCATTCAATCTCGCAGTCACCCAAACGTTGTCCCTAATTCATGAGGTGTCCCTCTGGCCCTACAGGCCCTAAATCCTGCCCTACTAATAGTACCAATCTTGCATTACCCACAATAAGGGATGTACCATAAATTCCCATAGTTTAAGGTCCACAAGGTAATGCAGGATCTAAATCATAACCCTAAACCCTAAACCCTATAGATCCCTTAAGGGAACCCCTAAAGAGATTTATGTCATCAGCCGTAGTTCTGCAGCCCCTGCTTCAAGGGTCGGGGGACTTAGTAACTGGTTATTTTAGGGACTTATAAGTACCATAACCCCAATTAGAGTCCCTTTTAGGGTACTTATAAGTCGACTTACTACCTACTTACTGAGTCCCCCGACCCTCCAAGACCCCTTTAAAGGAGCCCTCATGGAACCCCTACAGATCCCCTTAATTACCTTTTTGAGTCACGGGCTGGGCCGGACGTTCCCCTTAATTACCTACTTACTAAGTCCCCCGGCCCTCCAAGTGGGATCTCCCTTAAGCGACATAAGAAAAGCTGAGCGCCCCCGAGAGGCTTCGGCTCGAACCCCACGCTATCTTGCGGTAGTTTCCGAAAATTAGGGGGTACTTTTACAGGGATCCTTTAAGGGTTCCTTAAAGGGATCTATAAGTCTACAAGGGTTCTATAAAAGGCTTAAGGTTTAGGGTGTAGAGTCCTCGAAATTTAGGCGTACCTTACTTTGGGTCCCTTAGAACAAGGATCCCACTCTCTAAAGTACTATATTAGGGTCCCCTATTTTCGGAAACTCCCATGTAGGAACCTGATTAAGAAACCTTGGGTCCTTATTAGGGTTCTTAATATGGATCCTAATATATTGGGGTTACAGGGCCAGGGTTTCTCAATCAGCTTCCTACATTATGGCTTCATCACAGCCGCCTGGAGTATCATTAGGCGTGAGGGGGTTTGGGGCTCGTGGTTATGCATCTGGCCTTGAAGCTCGAGAAGCTTAAGAGCCTCCAACACCAACTCGAAATCCTAACGCCCTGTGCCTCCGGCTTTATTTGGCACACTTCCAGACTTCGTCTATCAGAAATGACCGTTGAGCTCAGCGGCTCCCCGATTCGCAAGCACTGGTCGCAGCATTGCAGGTAACCAGGTCAGCTTCAATGCCACAAGAGGGCCTTTGCTGCAACAGCATGGGCGGACAGTTGTCACAAGCAGCTGCCTAGGCACGAAAAGCCGACCCGAAGTATCTCAACACTACAACCTGAAACACAAACAACAAGTCCATAATCTGAATCGCTAAAGGCCGAACCCCCAGGCGGACACAGAAGCTGAACCAACGACTGTGCGTTCCTCAACCTTTAAGCCGACGCCGGGTAAAGCAAGACCCGCAGAACCGCTCTGAACCCTAAACCCGTTTGTTGCAACAGCAAGCAGCCTAGCTAAAGCTGGCTGGGCAGTGAAACCCTAAACCCCTAAACCCCAAACTTCTCTAGTCTCTGCTTGGAGCCGCGCGACACAAGAGACGCGAGCTGAAGTGCCCTTGTCCATTGGGACGACCGCCTGACTGCGACGGTCAGCCAGAGCCAGGGGTCGAAGATTCATGTGGGAGTTTCCGAAGATCAGGGGTACTTACCTTATTTTGAGGTCCTCATAAAAAGGATCCTACTATTTAGGGCACTACATTAGGGTCCCCTATTTTCGGATTGAGGCTTCTTGGATGTTGGACTGCGAAGATTGAGCAGTCCTTGCGTCTTCGCGGTATTGGAGACTAAGTCGGTGCCAGCACTGCTCACTGTTCCAATGTGTAGGCGAGCTGGGATGAGAGTTTGAAAGTTCAGGTCTTCGTGCGTAGGAGTTCTTAAGGTTGTTCTCCACAGGTGAAGCAAGCGGCTCGCAGGCAGAGACGACGGCGCTGTAGTGATAGGCATTGACCCGGACCTTCTTTCAGGGGCTCAGAGAACAAGTCAGCAGACCGTTCTGTTCTCAGATTTTTGCATTGGCCTTGGATAACACCGTTAGGGTCCATGTAGCCAAATAGTACTTACTTTGGCCTTGAAGTATAGGTACTTTGAGGACACTTAGGGACACTTCTGGGCTTCTGGAGTCAAGGGCTTACCTGGAGCCCAACTAACCACCTGTATAAAGAACTCATAACGAGGAAACCTGAAGGAGCAGGTTGTATAGGGTCCAGGTAAGGCTTGGGGTTTAGGGCTTCGGCGTCGTGTTTGCCGGAGCGGAATGCATCAGGCTCAGGACGTGAGGGTCAAAGAGGCTCGAGCTTGGGGATGCAGGAAGTGCTTGAATGTTTGATGCTAGGGGACTTAGGCTTCGAAAGATTGTGGTCATTGCTTCCTGGAGGTATGAGAATTTACACATGCCCATGAGCCTTCAAGCAGTAGTTTCAATCTTGGGTTGAAGGTTTGAGGGGGATAATGCAGAATGGAAAGGGCGCTGGAAGGACCACCGCTCTTCGGATGCACACCTTAACAAGTACGAGTAGTAAGGCTCAAAATAGCAAAAGCAACATATATAGTCATTGTGGCCTTTGGGCCCAGAACCCTTGCAATTTGAGACCTTAGAGCCTTAGGGTGGTTCAAGCAAAATTCCATAAATCTGCTACAGCTGAAGACCCTACATCAACCTAATCTCCGCGGCCCTCAGGACCCCAAAGCCGGCACCTGCTATTTAGAGTACCCAAAAAGGGACCCTAATTTTGACAACTACCCATATAGACCCTGAGCCCTTCTGCAATCATAGAGTTCCGCACCTCTTCCCGGTCCATGGTGTCCAGCACCATCTGTGCCGCCATGGCGCGCCCAGCACGGGCGAGGAAGGAAAGAACCTGCAGTTTCGAGACCGACATGGCGAAGCTTCGGGCTGGCACAGGACTTGTGCGTGTGGGTCTTCGCCCTAAAGTCGCATCTTCTCAGCACGTCGCTCTGCTTGGGGTCCTTATGACATAGGAGTCATGCGCTCTTTAGAATCCCCACAAGGCTTCTGACTTAGGGAAGCCACGGGACTTAAGTGCTGCAAGCTTCGCACGACGAAGCAGCTTTTCTGATGCAAACAAAACCAAGGCCGAGACTTTGTGTGTGTGTGTGTGTGTATAATATATATATATATACATATATACACACATACATACATACATACATACATACATACATACATACATATATATATATACACACACACACACGCCGAATATACCCTGTCAGACAGCCATGCAAATCTGTCTTCTTCACGGTGCAACTAGGGGGCTGTAGTAGCATATTGCGGCTGCGACTTCCATTCCGCCAACACCGGCTGCCTTCAATGCATAAGAACAAGGGCCAGGCGGGTCAACGGTGTTCAGATTACTAAGGTCTCAGAGTGACAGGGCTTGTGTCTGGAGAGCAGCCCTGCAGGAGCACTACGTGAAGGATCTGTGCTTTCTCAGATCTTGTCGACAAGCAGAGCTGTTGGCATGGAGGACTCCGCTGCCAAGCCAAGCTACCACTCCTGCGCCTGCTAAACCAAAAACTGCTATAGTGCCAGATCAAACTCTCACGTGAGAAATGAGTTAGTGCTCAGCAACACGGCAGACTGGCAAGAACCATGTTGTTTCTACGAGTCGCAAGATGGCTTCCACATCCACGGCACGTGGAGACGGACCCAATTGCAGCAATCGCTCCTGAACGTCAGTCAACACAGCAAGTTATATTACCTCGGAATAGGGCTTGGGCCCAGAGGTTTAACAAGGCAACGACCCTAGGAAGCAAAGCCGTTGTGATCGTGTTTGAGTGGCCAACAGTAAGAGTCGCCGTCGTGGAAGCATAAGTAGGAACAGCACCAGTGGTAGCAGTCTTCGTCGTTGTCGGTGGCTGTGGTGGTGAGGGGTCGTGGGGGAAGGGACGTCGTGACGGTGTGGCGGGGGCGGGTCGTTGTCTGTTGTGGTTAGTGCCGTCACTGGCCGGTAGCATTTAGCAGCACCAAGAGGTATGAGCTTCAGCTGTCGCAGACTTGATGTAGAGATAATGACAAAAAAACGCTATCCCAGGCTTGTTTATAGCCTAGGGCTCTTTGTTATGCTGTCAACTTTTCAACTTGTCCCACACCGCCTACCTCCACTGAAAGTGGCATACACTTGGTCAGACCTTAACTTAATGACAGCTAATATCTATCTGGGTTTGGGTTGTAGGCGACTTTGATCCAAAAACTAAATCCTAAACCTAATTCACATGTTAAAAGACTTCAAAACCAGAACCCTGACAAAACGGCGGGCATTCTGCTCCGAAGCCTGTGAAACCGAACCCTAAATCCCAAACCGAATCCATAATCGCTAGGGTTGAGGGTTCAACGTTTTGGGGCTTTAGGTCGGCATGAAGAACGCAAGAACAAAACAATAGAATTCCAACCATGCTTCGTCAGCCCAAGTGAAGATAACAAGACCCAGATCCCACACTCTTTTTGCATCCAGGCCTATTGCGACTGCCGGGTACCCTGAAGAAAGGATCCCACACTCTAAACCCTAAAACCCCAACCCCGAAACCCGAAGTGTAGACCAGAATGCCAAGCTCACCCTGACCCTAAACTCTTATCTATTTGCCCTAAATTATACAGGTAAGCTGTGGAGTTTATAGGCCATAAACTCTATGACACCAACCCTGGAGATCAAAGTAGCCCAAAAGCCTTATATAGTATGGTCTTTGGGCCCAAAAGCCTTAATATATGAGTCCTTAGATCCCTACACCAAACGGGCTGCTGCTCAGTGACGGCTTCGCGCGTTCGCCGTGTCGGCGTCGTGTCGCCAGCAGAGCCATGGCCCATGAGGTCCGTGGCGGCATAACTCTGACGGGGTCGGGGGTCTAGCGGCTTCGGGTTTAAATTTGGGTGTTGGATTTTAAGGTTTAGGGTTTAGGGTAGGGGCTGCGGGTTTCGAAGAGACTCCAAAAACCTCCAAAACTAAGGAATATACCTTAAATCAATATGGGTTTAGGGCCAGGTGGCTCACCCTCAGACATGCCAGGCGAGTCGCTGGGTGCGTATGCTTGAGAACTCGTGGTTCAAGGTTTACCAATCAGATTTATGATTCGCACAGTTTGTGTTTCGCACGGCTGCTTCTCGTGTTCGCGCATTCGCTGGACATTGCATGAAATACTGAACCCTTGGTTTTGGTGGGGGTTGAGCTTGGCCAAAAGGAGCTCCTGGGCCTGGAGTGAAACCTTTGGCATCCGTGTGGGGTTTGCTTCCACTGACTCCATCGGCTTGAAAGGCACAACAAGACACATGCCAATACAAACAGTGTGAGAAGATGTGACACTGGCACAACAGTGGGCACGGCAGTTTGCAAACGTCCTGCCGATGCCGGACACAGTTCTCACTTGTCCAGACTTCCTGCCGGATCCTCTCAGAACCAACCCCAATCGAGCAGCCAAAGCGATTTCCAGCCTGTTGGCCAACGCCTGCTCCGGAGAAGCCAAGGGCAGGCTGAGGTCAGCACCGTCTCCCAGATCCGAGGAGTGCCGTGAGGATCGATCTGGTCTTGCTAGGATGACCAGGGCGACTTTGTAAACCAGGCAGCAGAAGGTCCAGCTGTGGACCGGGTTGACGGGGTCAGGAAGGAAAACATCCAAGTCATCTGGGAGGGGACTCTGGGACAAGAACAGCTGCCTCTTGCAATCTGGTAGGTGTCTGTCTCCATGCAGACTGCTTGGTGGCACCACGGTCGAACACGTCTCCTTCGACATACCCAGCGTAGCGACACCAAGCCTTAGAATAACCAAACTGATCAGCATAGGCAAGCTGACCCCACAGCCTACACGCACAACATTATTCTGCGTGTAGATATGTCTGTTAACACAACATCCAAGGAGACGGAAAGCCTGGAGCTCGTCGCGTCCCGAACGCAGACTGAGTAGGAGAACTCGAGCTTCGACTTGTCTGGCTAGGCAGTGGCCGCAGCCATCTTCTTGAAGGACTCGGCTGCCTGCCAGAAAACCAAACTCCCAGATATTGGAACAAAGGTTGTGTACCCACACGAGAGTAAACCCCGAAGCTTGAAACACCAAGTGTTGCGGTGTATACAGAAAGTGCTGACGGCAGCATAGCGCTTCCTACACTTCAATGCTCTTCGCGGAACTAAGAGCCCCCAACCAACACCACCTAAATGAGTGCTTTTCTTTGCAATCCGGCGGTCACATCGATGGAGCTCCAATGCTGAGGTGTGCTATCTCAAAATCAGAACAGTATGTGTGTGTGGGTCTTCCAACCGAGGATACATTACAAACCCGACGGGGAGGATCGCCAAATATGTCGCTCTAGAACGAAACTCGAAACTCTGAGTCCGAAATGATGACACCCGGCTTTGGAACTGCATGTGTCTCAACACTGCTGAGTACATCGCGAAGTTAGGGTGAAAGGAAGTTAAGCAGGAGGAACTAAGCTCCGGTTGGTGCTGTGGCTTAGGGTCGCCCTGACTTAGAGTGCAGTTCCTGGGTAAAGGTCTTCTGATACAGCTTGCAGCTTACAGTGCCATGCAGAACCCTGTTTGTCCAGCTTTCGGTGCAGCGTACAAGATTTATCGGAAGTCTCTTCACTTTGGGCATGTTGACCTCCCCTGACTGGCGAGAAACATCATACCTGCCAGCCCGCAGACATTAGTAGCATTTAAGGCACCGATGTGGATGCTGCGCACAGAGAGGTATGACAGATGAAGATGTATATATACGTACGTACATGCATACATACCTACGTACGTACGTGCGTGTATGCACGCATGCATACACGCATATACACATACATATATAGAGACATGCGTACATGCATACACATATACGCATGCATAATGTCATGCATGCACACATGCATGAGCAGGTACCTACATGGGCCGTATGCACACATAGAAACAAGTAACACACATATCATACGCAAGAGCACGTGGCCAATCAGATTTATACTCGCATTGATCTAAAAAAGGATTTGCAAACCCATGGTCTAGGACAGGAAGGCGTCTCGATGTAGCATTGCAGACTACTCGACTCGCACCAAAGGGTTTGACCCACTTGATGGCGAGGTCGTTGTGCCAAGGGAACCATGCTTCGATTTCTTCTGCCCAGCGGCTGGGTTTAGGGTTTTCGCGCTCGGGGCTTAACCTTTCGGGTTAGGCGCAGCGTCATTCGAGCTTTTGCGGTGCCGTAGCTGAATCCAAGCATGGACCCAACCGATGTCCAGCAACACTGAACTTCTTTGAGTTCAGGTAGCCATGGCCCTAAAACCTAAGCTTAAACTCCAAACTCTCAAGCTTCAACCTTTCTGCTGCAGGCTTACACGCAAGGACGCCTGGTAGTTTCAACCTTAAACCCTAAACTAACCGCTCTAACCCGATTCTATCCGTCATCCACTGCATAGAAGGTGTCTGAGCCGAAGTACAACTTGTTGTTGTGCCACAGCCTCAGGTTCCCACTCCCAGGGTTCTACGGTCAGGTTTTTTCCCTCCGACTTGGCAAGGACGAAGCCCGCATTGCAAGGTAGGTTTGGTAACAGTTGAAAGCAGCCTACAGTTAGGCTTAGAGCTCGGGGCTTCAAGTGTTTGAACTTACAAGGGTTTTCGGTTTGGTTTGTTTTTTGAGCTCCTTTTTGCACCTGCCCCAAGGTCAGCAGTTACAAGGCACATATGCACCAGGAGAGTCAGGCCAACTTGCGATAGCCTTCCAAAAAACTCCTTGGGTTTAGAACTTAGGGTTTACAGCCTCTGGGCAAAGAGTTTGGTTATGCCTCTAAACTCTAAACTCCAATCCGGGAAGTCCTTTGCCAAGTAGCGGTGCAGCC